TACATCTTTACTGTTTCCCACAAGTTTGTTCCCTCTTCTCCTCCTACCACCCTTCTTGCCGAGTCCCTCTCCACTGTCTCTAATGAGCTTATTTTCTTTTCTCCTCCCCCTCCCCTCTTTCTCCTCCTCCCCCTCTTGTTGTTTCTCCTTCTCTGTCGTCGCAAGGCTCTCCCTATATTGATTGTCCCTGCCCCTGCTACTAATCTTAATGCTTCTAATGACTTTGATATTGCTAATTGTACGTATCCCCTTTGCAACCGTAAACAAATAATCAAACTTAATTTTGTTAAAACATGTTTTTCTCCTTCATATTGGATTTTTTTGCCTGCTATTTATTCTTTTTCAAAATCTCAATCTTACAAGGAGGCCTATCAAGATCCTAATTGAGTTTGAGCTATAAAGAATGAGTTGTCTGCTTTGCAAAAGACTTACTTGGGAACTGATTTCGTTGCCTGCTAGCAAAAATCTGATTGGTTGCAAATGGATCTATAAAGTTAAGACTCACTCTAATGGTTCTCTTAAGCGCTACAAAACTAACCTTGTTGCCAAAAGTTTCTCACAGGAATATGGTATTAATTATGAGGAGACCTTTGCCCTTGTTGCCACGATAACTACTGTCCGTACTTTGATTTTTGTTATTGTTGTTCGTCATTGGTCTCTCTATAAGATGGATGTTAAGAATAATTTTCTTAATGGCCATCTCACTAAGAAGGTTTACATACGTCCTCCCTCTAGCATTCCCCATTCTTTTGGACATGTTTGTCATCTTCGACATGCTCTGCATGATTTGAAGCAATTACCTCATGCTTGGTATGATTGCGCTTTCAGGCTGCTGTTACTCAGCTTGGGTTTCATCCTTATGCCCAAGATTCTACTTTATTTCTCCTTCACACCTCTATTGGTTTTGTTGCCCTGTTACTGTATGTGGATGATATTATCATCCTTGGGTCCACTTCTTCTGCTATCTCTAAGGTCAAGCAACATCTCTTCCACACATTCAAAATAAAGAATTTGGGCCCCTTGTAGTATTTTCTTAATATTAAGGTAGCTTCTTTTCCTAAAAGCTACTTTTTGTCTCAAACTAAGTATGCAAATGAAATTATTCACCGTGCCAGTATTACTGACACTAAGATTTCTAATACCCCCATTAAACTTAATGTGAAGCTTAACACTATTGATGATATCCCTCTAGATGATCTTACTTTATATCGACAGCTTGTGGATTGCTTAGTCTATCTAACTGTTACTCACCCTAATCTTGCCTATGTTGTTCATGTAATTAGTTAGTTCATTTATGCTCCTCATTTTACACATTAGGTTATTTTAGTTCGCATTCTTCGCTATTTCTAGAGTACTATATTTCAAGATTTACTATTATCCTCCACTTCCTCTTTGGACTTAGTGGCATATGCTAATTTTGATTGGATTGGTAATGTTACTGATCGCAAGTCCACTTCTAGCTTATGCATGTTTCTTAGTGATTCCTTGATTTCTTAGAAGAGCAAAAAACAGACCGCAGTTGCACATTCCACTGCTGAGGCTAAATACTGTGCTTTGACTCATGCCACTGCTAAAATTATTTAAATTTGTTGTCTCTTAGTTAATTTGGATGTACTTCAGTCTTCTCCGACCTCTCTTTATTGTAACAATCGCAATGCTATTCAAATTGCCCATAACACTGTCTTCCATAAACAGGCGAAGCACATTAAGATTGATTATCATTTTGTTCATCAGCATCTGCAGTCTACCTCCATCTCACTTCCTTTCGTCTCTTCGACACTTCAACTTACTGACTTCTTTACCAAGACTCACACCACTACTCGCTTTCAGTTTCTTCTTGACAAACTCTCAGTATTTTCTGCTAAAATACCTTAAGTTCGAACAAGGGTGTGAAAATATTATGTTAATTATGTAAATATATCAAATTGATTGTATAAATATTAGATTGATTGTAAGAATATTGATTTATTCTTATTTCATTCTATATAACTCAGTTGTACACTTTGTATTATTCACAATTGAATATACATAGTCATTCAAAATTCTTACAGGGGGTACCAGGATATCATTTGGTTACTACACTAGATAATTCTGTGAATTAACATTATTCTCAACTAATGTTTAATTTCCAATTCAAGTTAATGGAATGGTATCAACATGTGGTAATAATCTAATCTACTAATACACTACCGTCTGACAATAATAATAATAATAATATAACAGCATTCTTAAATAACCAACCGGTGAATGTTCATCAACGATGAGGTGGACGCAAGGCAAAACACTAGTTAATCAACATGCAGATTCCAGTATAACAAATGGATGTTGCAGAACACCTATGGCTCTGAATTGACAAGCATTGCTCATTGTTGCTTCACTAATTAGCGGCATAATACTATAACACAGAGATTCCTATTTTCTGGCTAGTGAAAACAGATATAAGCCCCATCCTCAGCCAACAATATATCATACTTGTTTATGGTCATTTATAGATTCTAAAGTGCACCAGACCAGACCAGACCAGACCATAGAGAAATCTCATAAAGAGAAGATCAGTCTTCATCACAATAGTTTTATATCTCACCCGAAATTATTCATGTGTAAGAAAGCAAACTCCCACAAACAAAATTTTCTGAAAAGTTGTCAATCAATCTCCACTGCAACACTCAAAACAGTAAGTTCTAGGAGGCAACCTGAAAATAACTAGTAATGAACTTCTGACCTGACAAACTATTACAAGTTTAAAATCAAATATTATTTCTTTTTGAAACAAGTAATGTCTTACTGAACAACAAATTTCATGCAAGTTTAATTATTTATGTGCACACTATAGGGAATTGATCAAACTGGAGGATGTGCAGAGTGCAAGGTTTAGATTCACATTCGAAATCATTATACAATGTAACCCAGTGTTTTAAAAAGCTCTAGGCGCACCGAGGCAATAAAGTCTCCGATAACCTAAGCGTGAGGCGCGCGCGTCACCAAAGTGGGCGTAAGTAGTAGAAGAAAAGCAAAATTATAAAGTAGACAAACTTTTCAACATAACAAATAATGAATCCAGCCTAAGCAACTTTAATGGTACAACTGTTTGTAACCATCTAATATAGCCATATAGAGATTTGTATAATTCTGTCCTCATATGTGTGCATGCATAGTTGCACACACAAGTCTAGCTTAAATGATCAAAAATTAATTTCTAGTGAGCATCCCCAAAACGTGAGCGCAAGTAGTAGAAGAAAAGCAAAATTATAAAGTAGACAAACTTTTCAACATAACAAATAATGAATCCCAGCTTAAGCAACTTTAATGGTACAACTGTTTGTAACCATCTAATATAGCCATATAGAGATTTGTATAATTCTGTCCTCATATGTGTGCATGCATAGTTGCACACACAAGTCTAGCTTAAATGATCAAAAATTAATTTCTAGTGAGCATCCCCAAAACGTGACGCAAGCCTCATGCTTAAGAATCCACATTTCATGCTTAAAAGGTCTGATCCAAAATTTAGAAAACAAATTGACAAAAAAATGAGGGGTAAATTTGCTTAGACTGATGAAACAAGATATCCTAATACATTATTCACATAAAATAAAATGACCATCAAACTTAATTGTTTTTAAGTTTCAACAAATGAATCTTTACTAGAAGCATTCACTATGAAAAGCAACAATGTGTAAACTTTGGAGAAACATGGCTCCCCTGCCTTCAATTTTTGACCCAGTTAACATCACTGTTATGCTAATCACATATTCAATAACATATCTGTAATTGTGTGATATACCATGAAATGAACCTTTTTATCTTTTTTTACGTGTACTGATATTTTTATCATATTATCTATTGTAAGCTCTACTAATTTTAACCATTTTATTCCTCAACTGCCTAAAGTTATTCTGACCTTTTATAAAAAGTACATCCAGTTTAGTCCCCATTGGATATGGGCCATGGCATCTGGTAGGGGCATATTGGGTACATACATATAAGGCTACAACAAACCAAGCTGTTCATGAACAACTCGAGACTCGGCTCGGTTACGACTCGTTCAAACTCGTTTATTTATTAAACAAACCAAGCTCGTGCCTAACAATTGAGCTCGGTAAGTTAACGAGCCGAGCTCGACTCGATTAGGCTCAACTTGTTCAGATTAATCAATATTATTAATATTATACATATATATTACTTTATATTGTTGAATATATATAACTCAATATATTGCCTACCAATCTTTGCAGAGAACTGGATGCCTAATGCATCCTTATGCAGTTGGTGTGGGACAAGAAGGATTGTGCAAACAAGGGGTTGAATCATCTAAAACTTTGTTAGTGTATAAAACTTATATATTCTGCATGGGTCCTTTAATTTAGTGATTAAATCTTTTCAGATGGGTCTTTTTAATAGTGATAAGCTTGAAAAAAGTCACTATCCACAATATAAATTGAAGCCTTTGAAAAAAGTCACTATCCACAATATAAATTGAAGCCTTTACAATGTATATATACACATGCTATGTCCAACGTCTCAAGAACTAACATGTGTGACTGAAACCACTTGGTGTGTTCCATAGGTTATTTGTTCATACAGTTTCCTTGTCCCACATCACTCCATCACAATAAAATGACTACAATGATTCTTCTATTAAGTGTGGAGGCGCTTGAACATGTCTCTCATAAGCTAGATGTGAGGAGCAGCCGTAAAATTTTATTAGATTCAAGCTATCTCGAGTCGAGCTTAGTTAGGATAGCTCGATTTGAGTTCGAGCGGAGCCTAAACACCCATAAATTTGACCGAGCTAAACTCAACCCAGCTTGGCTCGGCTAGGTTGTAGCCCTACAAATAAATTTGACTGCTCTCAGGTTATTTCTTACTTTTCATACAGATATATTCCTTTTGTTTGCATGCATTATTGCCAATGTCCAAGCTCTCATTGATAATCGAAGAGAACCTAGCACTAAAAGACAAACAATAATTTCACCTATGCCAATAATAGAAATAGCTAATTAAGGTACAAAGGGCCATCTAGCTTTACTAAAACTTAAGCATTTATCAAGATTATTTGATACATGAAACAAATTCCACGCCATCCATGTTCATACAATAACCTTCCAAACTACGTAAACTACTTGTGAGGATTCGGCTTGGAAGCTATGGTAATTTAAAAGTTCCACATTAAGAATTCTGTTGGAAATGGATCTAAAGATTAGTAGTACCTCAATTACTAGTGCTGAATAACAAACTGTCCCATAAATGTTGAGTCAGAACGAAAGATGATTCTCTTTTATTGTATAAGAGCATCGTTCATCTACCTTTTCAATTGCCGCTGAAAAAACAGAGAATTTTTTTAGAGAAAGAAATGTTCTATCCAACAGATAAATCTTGTTTCCACAAAATAATAAACCAAGAGACTCTTCTGCCACTATTATGCATATCTTATTATCTGTGTAAATTGATCATATTTGTACTCTTAACTTATGGTACTTGGACCCCACAAAAAAATACAATAAAAGTTGAAGAAAACTTACTTTAGGTCCGTGATTGGCTGTTGGGAACCGCCTATTAGCCCTTAAGTCTGATTCTTGTATCATCTCTGGACTATCGAGCTTATAAAATGTCTGTAGAGCCCTCACAACAAATGGTCGCACTATATTTACTTCCATTGCTGTTAGATGTTCAAGCTGCAATGTTAATTCAAGAGTTTAGAGGCCTAGAAATGATAATGATAAAATTTATTCCCTCTCCAACCCAGCCCTCCATCTATAGGAGGATTTGGGACCGCATCATTCACTCTATAGTGGTCATAACTCATAAGTACCTCTAGGCTGAAGTAATGGCCGTAAGATAATGGTGATCGAGCAAGTAAGTCGTAAACAAATATTGCAGTCTACATTCTTCTGAAAATGATGATTTGAGGCATAGGACTAATTATCTATTAACATGTTACTAAATTACAATGAATTCATAAGGACATACCTTCAGTGCAGCTGTTCGCTGGGAGATTACCTCCAAGCCGGTCCCAATTTTGTGAAACCTGACATCCTTGATGTCCTCAATGAGGGACCTCACCTATCAGAAATATTTACATAAAATTTTGAACTCTATATGCACAAAGATATAAAACTAAGGATATATATATATATATGATGCGAAGAAGCTGACCCAGGAAACCCTATATATCCACAAAAAAAACATATATATAACTAAAAGCATCTTTGAGCTTACCATATAAATGTCAGGAATGTCGTCACGAGCACTACATCAACAAAAAAAATATATATATATATATGTTGTTAGTATTCTTCGAAGGTATAGTAGAAATACAATCACTCAGTAAAACTTCTTACTGGTCAAACAGAAGCCTTGAGATTTCTACATAATGAAATGGTAGTGGTTGAAAAGTCTTTTGAGAGTCCCTCTCTGCTTCCAAAACCTGCGTCAACTTTTCTAGTCGAGAGAGCAGAAAATAATAAGAAAACTAGCAATCTTTAGTTTATTCACAGATTTTCTATTGCTTGGATCACTAGGCATCATAAAGGGGATGATATTCCAAGATTCCAACAGAATACAAGTAACCAATTGCAACATTCAACATATTTTCCTACAAATGTTGCTCAGTAAATCTAAAAAACAGTGTCATTAGTACTGAAACCATTTTCAATTCTACGATGCATTTTTTTTTTTGTGTGTATGATGCATTAGATTTCAAGCACATTTATTTTCCAATAGCCAAGAGCCCAACCTTCTAAGATAGTCATCAGTGAATATGTGGCCTCTCCTCAGCCTATGGAGTGCATGTTTTGTAGGAGAATGGGAAAGGTAATAATATAGAGGGATGGGGTGGACCAACAACAAGAGACGATGATGATGAAGAAGAAGAAAAATAACATTGAAATATAAAACTATGTCCTCAATGTTGCATTGATTTAAATGTGTTGTTAGATTTAATGAGTATCGAAAACTATGAGTAAAAGAAAGAATAATTATGACAAAAATACACTGATTTGGAAACCTCAAATATATATATATATAGAATGCGTGAAATATATAAATCACAAGGTATGGATCATTAAAACCTATAGAATAGCCCAAGAGTTAACAATTTTACAACACAAAATTTCAATCATATGCTTGAAAAGAAAGGCTCAATGCTACTATGATATATTGGTTTTCAGGAAAGAATGCAATATTTACACAAATTGTATTGTTTTTTGAGAAGCGCACAAAAATTGTATTGTGCACACCTATTGGTAGGCAATCATTGGCAACACCCACACAAACAAAAAAATAAAATACAATTTTGTGGTATGATTTATCATACCAAAATCTATGACATGTTGAGGAACTGTATGAAAAACACAGTTGCATATCTAACACCACGCTCATAACGCTTCCTTCAAGTCATAGGCATAGGCATAGGCATAGGCTCTAAAACAACACCACCAACAACTTTAAACCCCAATTCCTTTCTGTCCAAAGACCCTAACGACTAAACACTAAACAGGTATCATAGACTCATAAATAACAAATGGCATCAAACCATAAAAAAAAAAACATTTCTAACAATTTGGGATCTAAGTACACATGCCCAGCCAAAAACAACCAAGCCAGGCAACCATTAAAGGCATATAACATGAAATACAGATGTAGTTCCAATATTGTTTTGGATACGTTTGGTTTCCAGTACCTTTGATGCATTAATCACCATTAAGTCTATATAAGATTTTGATTCTAAAAAACATGTTACAAAGAAAAACATAGTATTTGTAAGGACACTCAATAATTAAATATTTGAAAGATGATGAAATTCAACACATTTGAAAATACATATAAATTCAGGGTGTTTAATTCTTTAATAATTCAAAAATTGATTTTACCATGAATATCCCAAAGTTGAATACACTAAATTTTAACTTGACCTGCTTTCAGATTCTCAGTCCAACGAACAAAGTTCTTCGTTTTTCGTTTTTTTCTTTCCAAATTTCAACTTTGTGGCTGAACCCTATTAGACTTTAAACAAATTAAATTTAAACTTAATGGGCATTACAGGAATCTATTACACTGAGTGATACATTTCAGAGCCATGAAAGTGATATGATAGTGAAAATGGCTCAACTTTGATATTGTGGGTATCTATACTATACTTGGCACGTGGCGAGCCCAATGGGCGTCACGTCAACACCACTACACATCCACGTGGCAGACCCCTGAGGCACCACGATGAGTCGAGATTGTATACCTAGCCTAAACGGGGGCATGCACATCACCAAGAATGAAACAAGGCCACATAGAGCTGGCTCACTTAGAGATCTTCATGGCTCTTCATAACTCAAGAAATGTATTCTCTACCCACTCACCCAACTCCATGGCAACACAGCCAGACTCTTGGTTCACCCATGCTCGGCTCACCCATGTTTACTTAGCTACTAAGGTGAGCCCTTGGCTCACCCATGCATTCACCCTCTTGGCTGCCTAGGTCGGGAGCAGGACCTAGGTACTCCCGCTTGGGATCATTGGCGGATTATGGATTGGAGGCTAAGACCTCGGGATCGTCAAGGTCGTGTAGCTATCTTCCTTTGACCTGGCTTAGAGAAAGAGACGTTGACCTTACACTTACATCTGATGCACATATGATACGCCTCTTAAGATATCACACCTACCCCTGTAGTTCCTATGATACAACCTCCCCGAGGACCTGAATCATAAAACACAACTAGTAGGGTTGATATCACCCTCCTGTCGAGTTGAGGAGAACTTGCCACCTGTCTGGAGGTTGCTTGGGCTCCAATACTCCTGGAGCCTATATAACGGCATCATAAGTGCAGTCACAAACACAGCAAGAGCAACAAGAATCACATAACATACATTAAGTGTCCAAGGTCTCTCACTGCCACATCTTCCCTCTCTAAGCTTGCCTTAGTCTTCTACTCCTCCACCTCCGGTGATCTTAAGTCATTGAAGTGCCTACCATCTTCCCAGAGGTCAACGACCGATCGCCTCTAATCTCTATCACCCACAGATATCTTATCCTCTCTCGCTCTGTGGGTTTGGGGAAGGAGTGAGTGTGGGATAGAAAGATAGAAGCAAGGAGTTAACCTAGACAGATAAAAGCCTACTACTAGCAAAATGGCCTTTGATATGGCCGCGTGGAGAAGAAGGATTCATGTAGCCGACCCCATTTGATGGAACTTAAGACTTGGTTTAGTTTTGGTTTGGTTTGGTTTAGATAAAAGCCTACTACTTAAGCAGGGAACAAACACACTTATTGATAGATAACCACCAATAGTTGATGGCAAATAAGTGGGGGCAACTTTTGTACAGAACCAAAGAAAATCAAACCTAAGACGTCTATTTTAGGATGAAATTTTACATTTAAAGACAACCATGGGCTTGACTCAACTAGGCCCCTAATTAGGGCAAGACATTCCTAGAAGGAAATAGTATGCCTCATTCTGCATCTACACTCTCTTGTATCTCCAACACTTCCTCTCTATAGCATTATTGCTGACAAAATCATCTCCATGCCCTCCAGCCAGCAAACCACAAGTTGGTTAGCACAAACAATGCCCTGTTTTGCAACTCTGCGAGGTATTGCTCATCTTTGTTAAGTCCCTCATCATCTAGTGTGGGTTAATTTTCTCCCTCCCTCAATTGGCACCGTTTACGGGAAATGATGGACTACAACAAAATAAATTTGCAATTCTAAACATCAAAACAAGCCCATTCTACACATGATTCCAAGGCATAAGGGTGAGATGATCTCGTAAAGCTAACGTGATTGTTCTTTTCAAAAGCACAGCCCATGTGATCTTCCATCAAGTCAAGGCAATCATACACCATATATAAGTCACATGACCTTAGAAGAAAAGGAGGACAATACTCACTGTATGCAAGAACACATGGGTCATCTCTCATGAATAAGAACGAAGTTCTCCCTCACTCTTCTCTCTCATATTGAATTCTATTATTTTACTGGATGAGAAACAATATTTTTTTTGGACTTCATCTCTATAGGTGCTTGGCAAGGCCACATATATATATATATATATATATATATATTTGTAAATTGGCCCCCAATTGGGATTCTCTACCATTTCTCTGAAGGGATGATTCGAACACAGAAATTGTCATGCACGGCATTATCAAGCAGAGAGAGACCCAGCCTTCCCTAACAGCGGGAATACACATCGAGGAAGTTGCCACGCCAGGGAACCTTAAGTCATGCAACCAAAATGAGTGTTGGTTGGTCATGACCAATCTAGTAACGGTACATAGCTCTGTCTTATACGTCCCAGCCATGACAGTTGCAATGGGAACTAGACACACTGCTATACCATACACATTGTCACTTCTTAGTCATACAATTGCATGGCGATGCACTCCTACTGGGCACAATCACATTGAGGTAAAGTATTCAGCGGCAACAGCTGCCAAAAAGGTGGTTGGTTGTCTCTTTACATCACACAACTTTCTCTTGCTCTAGAGAATTGTTGGACAATGAAGACCATACACTGTGCAACTTGGTGTCAGAGATCAGAGCGCTACTGCTCGGAAAAATAATACCATCAAGTTCTAAAACTTTAAAACAAGCACCTAACAAACTTCTAGCTTCACCGCTTCACATTACTGAAGCTTTATTTGATGTAGCACCTCCAATCTCCAAAGACCCAACAGAGTTTGGTATCAAAGACCCACACACTAAAACCCTAAACTCTCTCTCTCTCTCTCTCTCTCTCTCTCTCTAAGGAGCAACAAGTGTGACTTCGCACGAACTCTCAATCAACAAGGAAATCATTGAAGCTCAAGAAACTACTTACACGAAAATAGTTTGTGGCCAACGAGGCTACAGCTCCAAATAAGACCCAACAAATGGTCCATCATCATTGGGCGTTTCTCTAATAAGAAGCATGTGACAAAACAATTAACAGCACAACAACAATTAACAGAATCATCATGCTTTTGGCTTGGGAACTTGCCTAACACATATGCCTTTCCCACAACAACAATGATGTCATGAAAAACCAAACTTGGTCTAATATGATACTGGTTGCAATCTGGTGCTCGACTTCTTGCAACCGCGACTCAATATCGCATATCCAACTCAACAATCTCACTTTGTAATGTCTTGCTCAGCCATCTCTTCACTGGAGAACATCTTGGTTGAATTGTTCATCGCTTGCTGTCTGACTACACCCATTCAGATTTCTCAGGGACCCATTCACATTGCTTAGCAACAAGGACCGTGCATTGTCACACATAATCAACTAAGCAACAGAGATTAAAGCATTGCTGCTCAATTAAGCACAGTAGCATGACATGTGCAATTAGTGTTCGCGGCCACAACCCAACGGTGGGGGTACATGTGTGGCCACTTGCTTTCAGCATCTTCGTAAGCAGCAGTTAAATAAATCCATCAGCTCGAAAGTCCAATCACAATGCCCACCACCAGTAAAGGACACTAAACCATACCATCTTAGCCATGGGACACTACAACTCATGAATGACTGGCTAGCTATGTATATGAAATCTGCTTGGCTACATGACAATAATGTTAAAGCAACAGCGACAATCATTTTACCAAGCCATCAGAAACAAGATCACTGAGCTAGTCTGTTGAGTTTCAGCATATCCAATGAAAACACACATAGCAGACTGAGCTGAAAGTTTAGTTTCAAGCGGAGGCAAATGAACAAAACACACAACCAAAAGGATGTACGATGGAGTAATTCGGTGAACACTTATACAAGGTTGCAAATGAAGAAGAATTTTGTAAAGGAGAAGATGGTAATCTATTGATCAAATATACAGCAGTGGCAGCAGCTTCAACCCAAAAAGTAGGAGAAATATTGGAACCATAACAAAGAGTTCTAACTGTTTCCAATATGTGCCAATTCTTCCTCTCGGCAGCACCATTCTGTTGGGGAGTGCTAGGACAAGTTCTTTGGGATTCAATTCCTTCTAGTTTTAGGAAATTTTGAAATTCATTAAGCAAATATCCCGCCCTTGAATCTGAACACAAAATTTTAATCTTTCTTCTCGTTGGTAAATGGGAACAAACTGATGTTTCAAATTGAGTCTCAACCATAGCTGAGTTCACAGAGGATTGTACCAATTCTTGAATTTCAGCTGATAGAGGCTTTGATTGTCCAGCAATGGAGCATGACTTACTAGGACTAACATGTGAATTAGGAGAAACCAATTATCCCTTCTACAGAGGAGGTAGTTGCCTGGTATGCACGAAGATTAGAACGTCGCTGAGAAGAACCTTTTCCTCTTGGTGGGAAAGTGGGGCATTCTTCAATGATATGGCCAAATTGGCCACAATAGACACAATAGTTACGCTTCTTACAACAAGAAGCAACATGTCCATAATCTTTGCATTCAAAGCATTGTGTTTTTATTTGATCCTTTGGTGTGAACTGCTCTGTGCTTCTTTGAGCAACAAAAGCAGTAGCAACATTCCATTTTGCTTCAATAGTAGCTTGTGTAACAATGCGAGTTTCCTCTTGTTACAACTCTCACAAAATGACATCCATGGTGGGCAGCCCACTTCAATTCAAGGTATTTGCACGAACCACTTCATAATCTGGTCGAGTTTCATAAGAAATTGCATCACTTTTCTTCTTTCATTAACTGACTTTAGAGTATCCAAACAAGAAGATTTTGAGATGACCCCAAAAAATGATCATTTCATACTCCACAAGGTCATGAAGACAGCGTAGTATTCTTGAATATTTTTATCACCTTGATTGTAGTTGAATATGTCATATTCAATCTAAAACTTGTGGGCCAATTGGATTGTTGATAAACCTTCTCCAGATAATCCCACATTTCTTTGGCAATGTTGAATCCTCTCATAGGAATGCCAATATTCATGTCCACAGAACTTAGAATCCATGAGATGATTTTGGCATTATTGGTTGCCCAATGGGGATGTTTGGTGCAGATTGTTCAAGCAGCTTATAGTTTATTTTAAGTTGGGAGTTTGCGCTAAATGGTTTGGTGCAGTTTCTGCTTATAATTTATTAGGCATGAGTAGCTTAACTAAGCTGAAAAAAGCTGATTTTTCAGAAGCTCGGGAGAGATGTTTTTAGCTTCTGCTTTCTGATTATCAAGCTTTAGCTTAAATTAATCTCCAACAAACACCCCCATTGTTGTTGATCCTTCTGTTGACCTTCGGTGGGTTGGGGTTCGGATCCATCAACATGGCCCCAAAGACCCTTTTCATTGACAAAATACTGAAAATGAAATCTCCAAATGCCTGTAATTTTGGCCATCAATTTTGACAGCAAGAAACTCACTCTTTTCTAAAAAAGGAGATGAGTGGAAATTGAAAGATGTGAAACCAATGGCAGAGATAGTCACAGAAGGATGACAAAATATATTGACAATTTGACAGATCAAAATCTGTCCTGCAGAAATGATCTCAGAAATAAAACGAAACGCCCCAAATTACAACGAGAACATAAACAGATCGTTATCTGCTTTTGCAAAGACAAATAGAGATCAATATGAAGATTGTGTTAATAATTCTTGCTCTGATACCGTATAAAGCAATAATATATTTGAGTAGAGAATGAAGAGTAGCAGACAAACAATAATGGAAAGATACAGAGGGCCATTATCTCTAACTATATTTAGGTCTTGTTTGGAAAGTTGACTATTTTAGTTGGCTATTTGATTTTTGAACTATTTTAGCCTGGCTAAAATAGTTGTGTTTGGGAAGTTGGCTGACTTTTCTTTTTTTTTTTTCAATTGATTTGATAGTTGTGAGAGAAAAAATAAAATGATTATCAGTTAGATATGACATTTTATCTTATTAACTATTTTATTTTAGCCCAACTCTCTTCCCAACACCCCCTTAATATACTGTCTCTCTACATTACCAACCCAAAATACACATATGGAAATTCTGTTTTAAATAGAAAAATAAGTTGTTGTACATATAAATGAAGTGAGGAATCATAGATAGCAACAATGCTAAAGAAAACTCACCAACTGACATCCACTCTGGAGGTCGAATCGTGCATTTCCCTCTCTTCTTCAAAGCCACTGCAAGCCACAAAGGTACTTGAGTTGCTATTTGCGGATGGAAAGGGCCAAAATCTCCCTGTCAATTCATATATGAACATGAGTTATTATTATGTACTATATATGTACATACATAAAGAGAGGGTACAAGTTTAAGACAAATACACAGATCAAATTGAGAGTCTCCATTCTCATATTTGGTACAATTTCTATCATTTCGTCTTCAGCGAGAAACTCCAACTGAGATGTTCAAAAATCACCATCAGTAAATCAACTATTTCAATGCAATCCGCACACACACATATATACACACACACATAGAGATTGGAGAGAGAGAGAGAGAGAGAGAGAGAGAGAGAGAGTACCTCGGCTGCTGAAAATTCTGAGGCGTGAGGATCTGACTGGGTGGCCATACCTGTGAATTCAAGTAGACCTGGGGGTTACGAATGTGTGGGAGGGAGATGTGCAACTCCGTAGATTTGTCGATTGACTTGGGATACAGAGTGGGAATGGATGAAATGAGGAGATGCTGATCAAACCAACTATGAACCCTAGTTTTCAATTGCGGGAAATGGATCTTGTACTCTGTCAATGAATTTTTTTAAGTTTGGCGCTTAAAAACTCGGCTAAGGTTGTTATGCAAATTACTGTGTAAGATTTTGTATTAAAATCGAATTTTCTATAGTGAAATCTAAACTCTCGTTCGTTCGTTACTTTGTTTTCAGAGATAGAATGAAAATTATTAATAGTGAAGGGATTGTTAATGAAAGAATTGATAGTGAAGAGATTAATAGTGAGAAATTGTTAAATTATTTTTATATAAAATAATAAAATAAATATAAAAATTAAACACAAAATATTTTTAAAAAAAATCTCGATATATTAAAAATAAATAAAATAAAAAAATTTCTAATCGCCTCACTATTTTTTTAATACTATCTCTACCTCCTCACTATGAATCCCCCTTCCAAAGGTATTAGTAATACCAAGGTATTAGTAGTCCTAAGGCCATCTCTCAAAACAAACAAGGTATTAGTAATACCAAGATATTAGTAGTCTCAATCCCCTTCCTATAACCCCAAACAAACGGGGCCTATATACCACCTTACACTCGTGAGATTAGATCAAAGAAGTCAAGAGTTTGAACTATTTAACATGTACGGTACCCCGAGCATGTTACTATTTTTGGTAACTTTGCTAGGGATTTTATGAAACCTTAACTCAAACTCCATGATATGACTTATTTTCAAATTATACGTTCATTGCATTGTATGCATTGGTGCAATTAAAGTCTCTGTGTTGGCCAGTAAACTTTTTGTGACACTATATATATATATATATATATCTACGTTACTTTTGAGGCTTTATGTTATAACCTTTTCAGATCTGTCAAAAATGTAACTTTGCTATCTAAGGTTCTCAAATTTCGAAGAGAGACTATATTGGCTCTTCTGATTTCTTGGGATTTTCATTAGTTATTAACCAAAGGGCTCTTGAGTAACATCACTTTGACTTCAACCCCTAGAATAGAGTTAACCTTGTATATATAGTGAGCTATAGTACCTTCTAAAATTAAGACATGATGCTCTCCTATTTTCTAGGATATATGATACCACTTGTTTGAATAGTGAAACTCTAAATCATTTCAAGGCTAGGACATGGTAACCCTAGCCCCCATAGGGGTATTTGTTCTCTTTCCGGCTATGTGTTATGTACAATGTTGGGATCTATTCGGGGGTTCTCAAATTCAAATGAGTGGTTCGGGCATTTTAGTTTGTGAGGTTGAGTTCATTTTTTTGGTAGTGTATACAGTGGTCAATTATGCAAGTTGGGTCGAAGTGCTGCTAGAATTCTGATTAGAGCATTTGTGATGCCAAATGGCATGACGAGGAACTCATACTGCTTGTAACGTGTTCTGAAGGCAGTCTTTTCGATACTTTCTGTTTTGATTTTTAGTTTTATGATAGCTGGAACACAAGTCAATTTTCAAGAATACTTGGCCATTTTGAAGTTGGACAAATAAGTCATCGATTCGTAGCAGGGGGTACCGATTCTTGATGGTAACCTTGTTCAATTCTCGATAATCAATACATAATCTCATGGTACCATCCTTCTTCTTTACAAACAGTACTGGAGGTTCCCAGGGCGAGGTACTTGGTCAAATGAAGCCTTAGTCTAGTAGTTCTTGGAGTTGGGTCTTCAGTTCTTTCAATTTCATCATTGATATGTGGTAAGGGACTTTTGATATTGGTTGTGTATCAGGTTGAGTTTCAATGGTGAATTCGATTTCTCGATCAACCAGGGTACCAGGTAGGTCTTCAGGAAAGACATTCGAGAATTTTTGAACCACAGGGATTGCATCAAGTGTGAGGGCCTCTTGTTGAGTATTGATCAAATAGCAGATATAACTACAAAAACCCTTCCTTAAAAGTCATTGGGCTGTTATGGAGGATATAACACATAGAGGAGTGGAAACTTCAGTTTCATCAAAGACAAGCTCGAGTTAGTTTGGTAACCAAAGGGAGACCTTTTTGGCTTTGTAATCGATAGAGGCGTGATTGGAAGCCAGCCAATCCATTTCTAAGATCACATCAAAGTTACCAATGCGGAGGGGAATCGTGTCTATGTATAAGGTTTCGCCCTTTAAGGATATGGCACAAGATTTGTTCACCTCAGTACCAAGGGCAGAATTACCAGATGGAAAAGACACAGACAGTATATATCCTAAGGGTTCGAGTACCGATGCTAACTTAGAAGCAAAGTATGGTGCAATAAAAGAATGAGTTGAACCAAAGTCAATAAGAACATAAGCTAAATGACCACAAACAGAAAGTGTACTTGACACTACGTTCTCAATAACCTCCGGGGTTTTCCAGGCACTAAGGCAAAAGCGCTTCCTTAGCGTTTTTGGTCCTTCCTCACTCCTCCAGGTACTGCGAGTTTTGGGGCTAGTTCAGAAGGGCCTGCTATAGGATTGGTAAACTTTAGACAATCTCGCAGCAAGTGGCCATTTAAAGCATGCTCCCGTTCTTCGATGGCATTATCCCCAATGAGCCTTCTCACAAGTAGGGCAATTTGGAATGGTGCCACTTCTAGGGTTAGTAGGACCTTGATTGCCTAGCCTAGTTGAGCCCGTATTTACCTTTTTGGGAGGCGTAACACCAGATCTTCTATGGTCTCTTTTTCAAAATTGCTTCTTTTGACTTGGTTCCCTAGAGCGCCAGGCTTTAATTCCCTTTTCGGTGATGTATGCTCAATCCACCACTCCTACATATGGTGGCATCTTCCGAACTTCAATCTTGTTTCTGATGTCATCATCTAAGCCAGCTTCAAATTTCCTAGCTTTTCGAGCTTCGGTGGGAATGACATATGTTGCGAATCGGGCTAATTAGGTGAATTTGCTTTCATATTCAGCCACCAACATTGTTCCTTGCTTTAGATGTATGAATTTTGATGCCTTTTGTTCTAGCAGTGAATCAGAAAATATTTTTCGTAAAATACTTCCAAGAATCTTGCCCAATTCATAATTTCTTCTTTATCTAGGGTGAAAAGCCACCATTCTTGCTGATCATCTTTGAAAGTGAAAATGGCAAACGTTACCTTCTACCTTTCTATGCAAGGCAGCGTGCGAAAAATCTTCTCCATGTCCCTGACCCAGGCTTCCGCTATCAGTGGGTTTGAGTTGCCTGTGAATGTGGCGGGCTTCAAATCCTGGAACTATTTTATTGTAACCGGCTCTTCTTGCCATTCTGGCATTCCGTTGTTTATGTTGGTTTGTAGGGCCTGTAAAAAGTTGGTCACTACTTTTTCCATAATCCTTCTCATTGACTCTGTTCTGCTGACTGACGACTTGACATCGTTAACATCATTGGCCATTGCTACAAAGTAAGATTTTTAGTAATTTAATAAGCATGGCATCCCATAAAACATCATATATATATATATATAAACACCAGTTTTACTACATATGGCGTTAGTACTACATCCATATTAAAAGTTAGAAGTTACTTAATCTTTCTAGTACAAAAATAAGGATTAGAACTAATCGTGGTTTGTTTACAAAAAGGATCCTCCTTTCCAGTGTCTAGATTGGCTAGTCAAACAGCTACGGAAAGTACTGCTACATGAGAAGCTTGAATTTCCATCCTAACTGCACCACTCTGAAACAGACCCATGTTGCCTGAACTGTATAAATGGAGACGAATTGTAGGTATCCCCAAAACACTCGATCGGCAATCCACCCAGGTGTCTTGACATATGTTAAGTCATTAATGAGATCAACATTCTGGACATTAATAATGTCCAGGAGGTTGGGGAAGATGGTGAGTATGTCGTCGCCGGGAAAGCATTTCCCCTCATTCCTACATAACTCGGGGGCAAAAGGCCAACTATGTAGTGGAGGTGGTCTAGTCCTGGGGCAAGGCCAACCACGTGGGTAGGCCTGAGATACCGTCCTCGAGTATAGGCACCACTCTATCTCCATGATAGGTGTGCCAAATCATCAGGATCGCCCTGCAGATATACTGGTTAACCCATCAGTTGGTCGAGGCCCGCTTGTAACTGTCTGACTATGTTCTTGGAGTCTCATCATCCTTCTAGCAAGGCAGGAGTGTGGTGGGCTCCTAACATCCCCTCCAGACTCAAGGTCTCAAGCTCATTCCAGAATGCCTCACTGAGAATTGGCTTGGACATCCTTACATTACATAACAATTAACTATAAAGCAAAGAAAAAGATCTTTAACATATTCTAGAAATATTACTGTCTAGATATATATAATTTTGCTCTAATAACACCTTTGTTACGGCTCAACCCCGGTTGCTTAAGGCAGGAATCACGACCTGCTACTTAATTCTAATGTTAACAGATTAAGGGGCACAGGCGAAGGTGGAATGAAAGTAAAAATAATAATTAAATAGATAATTAACCTCATTAATTATGCTACTATTTTGTTTAAAACGAAATACATCCGTCAGGTTTTTATTATTTTATTATTCGATGACATAAAATAAAACAAAGAAAAAGTAAGAAATGAAAAGAAAAAATGTCGGTAACAAGTTCCATACTGGTCCACTACACGAGGTTACAATCCTTCTTTATATTTCATCTCCTAAAAGGGGTAACAATTATAAGTACATAGTAGAGTGAGAGATATTATACCAAGAGCATGAGGTTCAAAATAACTATGGATAGTTATTTAAGTTAAACATTATACAACTTAATTTGAGTAAGTAAATTGTTTAAGTGACAGAAACTGAAAATTCAAAAATTATGTAAGTAAATAATCATAACCACGAGACAGAATAGAGAAGAACTGAACTGAGGTCCCTAGAGTGACAATCAGAATAGAAGTCAATGGATCCATGACAAATAGAAGGCCACAAAGTGACCAATCAGAAACCAATGGTTTATTTAAGTCCCCCAAGGCATGGGACTTTCATGGTGATACTTACAAAAATAATTGTTTATATAACCATTGTCAAATAATTTCTAAAATTTAAACAATCGTGTCCATGGGTTTCAATTTAAGCAAATAAAGTTCAGAAAATAATCAACGTAATTGAAATATTAATATAACTTATAAAACATGAACTACATAAAACAAATTATAGTAACTTGAGACATACATAAAATATATTATGGTGACTCAAGGTATAATATAACTCA